GGAAAGAGATGGTCAGGTTTCTGACCCCCCGTGTCTTTGTTCGCAGAGGGAGGCACATAAACGCAGACAAAAACACATAAACACACACAAACACATACATAAACACAAAGGCAGAGGAAGGCAGGGCAAATTGCACATATTCATTCAGTTGAGCATAAAAAACACAGGCAAGAATACAAATATCAATGGGCTTCCCTGGTGGCGCAGTGGTTGGGAGTCCGCCTGCCGATGCAGGGGATGCGGGTTCGTGCCCCGGTCTGGGAAGATCCCACATGCCGCGGAGCGGCTGGGCCCGTGAGCCATGGCCGCTGGGCCTGCGCGTCCGGAGCCTGTGCTCCGCAACGGGAGAGGCCACAGCAGTGAGAGGCCCGCATACCGCAAAAAAAAAAAAAAAAAAGAATACAAATATCAAAATAAAAGAACATTGCCATGGCGACAGTGGAGGCAGCGTTACCGGTCCCCTTTCCACCTCCCTTACAAGTGGTCCTCTTCCCTAACCCACCTCAAATACCACCTTTTGTCCCCCTCACTTAGGAAACACCAAGTATTCTGAATACCTAGCAACGAATCCTTTCTAGAGTGAAGATTTTAGCTGGGAAGAGTCCCAGAGCACTTCTTAATGTAGGAAGGTTTTGGGGAGCTAGGAAAAATCGGTTCAGGGCAGAAATGTACGTAATGTCAGAAAACATCCTGGGACAGGAAAGCCCTAACTTGTATTCAGGAAAAGCAGGCTCTCCCTTATGTAAATAGCTGCCCGTGGCCACCTCCACTGGCTCATCTCCCCACGTCCCTCCCATTGATGCCTTAAACCCTGGGCTCCGGGACTCGTGGGAGGAGAGGCTGGGAGTCTCCCGGGTGCTGGGAGGGTCTCACCTGTGATGTGGGAGGACTTGGGGGAGGTCATCGTCGTGAGCGGCAATTCAGAGGAAGTGTCCACCTCCTTGAGAGTGTTTGGTGAGAGGACTGAGATTGGCTGGGAGCACCCGACCCTCTGCAAGGAGAGAAGCAAAGTGGGAACGCCTTTCCCCAAGGGCAGACTTCTACTCCTGCTTATCCTCCGTCCCTGTCCCTCGGGTCTCCTCTCTCACAGTTCCTGGGCAGGAATGAGGGCACATGGCCCCCGGTGGAACTCTCTAGACCTGAGAAAGGGTCCCCTGCAAGATCAGACTCCCGTCTGGCCCACACTCCTGCCTTCAGTCTTTTGCATTTGACTTGAATGACATCACTGACCTGCAGGAAGGGCTTATCTCTGCCTCCTCCCATCCCTCTTCCCTACTTTTCTTGCAGTAACAGGACTGTTCTGACAGCCTGAACACCCAAGGCGAGGCTGTTCGCACATATAACCTGGGTAAATGATGGCAAAGTGGCAGGTAGGGAGGACCTAAGGCTGGCTTGGAGCCACTGCCACCGCCTGTCCCTTGATCCTTGACACCAGATCCAACCTCTGTCCCGGCCTCACCTTGGCGTAGTAGACGTGGTTGGAGCAACGGTACTGAGTAAACTGGCAGAAGGACTCAAACCAGGAGGCAAAAGGGAGGTCGGAGCAGACAGCGCCTGGGGAAGGGCGTGCGGCGGAAGTGAACACACCAGGGGGAACGCCCTCTGGGAGCGGGCGGGACGGGGCGGTGGGTCCCCGGGGTCTGGAGAGCCCAGCACGCGGGCTCAGGGTGAGGCGCCAGCCACCCCCTCGCCCCGGGTCCAGCGAGCACAGGTCTGGCCCTCGAGGCGGGCCCTCACCTTCCGGCACCAGGCCGTGGTTTTCATACTGGTCCAGCTGGAGGAGGGTGGGGTTCCGGCAGCCGTGGGTTGCGCGGATCCGGCAGGTGGTCTCTGCCTTCCAGGTTGGGGTCAGCAGCGCAAAGAAGCGCTCATACTCGGTGGGAGAGAGGGGGCTGCCCGGAGTGGAGGTCGAGAGGGAATCCTGGGCGGGGGCGGGGGCCGGTGCCGTAGGCAGGAGCAGCACTGCGGGGTGGGGAACAGACCACGGATGGACCCAACTCCGACACCCGCCGGGCCGGGCGGACGCAGCCGGGCGAGCCGGGCCGTGCACACGGGGACCGGGGCGTCTGGCCGCCGAGCCCGCGGGCGAGGGCGAGAGGGCTGGGGCGCGGGGTGGTGGTGGCGGTGGGAGGGGCTGGAAGCGGCCGGCCCAGGGGAAGGCGGTTCAGAGACGGTGCAGGGAGGGCTCCGGGGGCGGACGCGCGCTCACCCCTCAGGAGTGAGAGAAGGGAGGCGGCGGCGAGCTGCCTCATGGCCCCGGACGGTCGCCCGTGTTCCCGGGACCGAGCGGCCTCCAACGGGCCGAGCCAGGGATAGCCGGCTGGCGGGGGCCGCGGGTGCGAGGCCGCCGACGTCACAAAGGGCGGGGCGGGCCACGCGGGGGGTGGGGGACGGGGAAACGGACGTTTGGCCGGGCTCGGTCGGAGGGCGGGTGCGGGTCCCCGCGTGTCACGCTCCAGCTCGAGAAGACAAGGAGGGCAAGAGTGATCACTGACTCGGTGCCTTGGACGGCGGAGCTCCTGTGTTGTTCCTTACGCGTGACGTTTTTTCGTCTCAAGGTGATCCCATAAAGTGGATACTGTTATTAGCGCTATTTTACAATCTGCCCAAGAGGGGGTGAGGCCTGGAAGTGAGGCGCGCAGAGATGGGACGTACAACACAGTCTGGAGAGGGCGCCTCCAGGTAAGGAGCCGAAGGAGAAGCAAGAGGGGGTTCGGGTGAGGAGGAGATGGGGCATAAGGGGGCTCAGTCTAAGGAGGTGGTTTCCTGGTGGAGGCGGGCCAGACAGCTCACTGGTGTAGGGCAAACTACGTGTTTTTCTGTTTTGTGTTTAAAATAAGTCAGCCTGATACTTAGTCCCGTATAAAGCACAAAATACACATTTACTGGAAATTAAGTGAAAGGTATCTGAGGGAGAAAAGATGCAGAATCTTAAAGGTTTTGGAAACCCCTGGTCTGAGGCACAGTCCCCAGGCAGCTCTGGTGGTTCCAGAGAAGTTGAGAAGCTGTGGATTCTGGGGCAGAGGTACCACTTCTGGTTCCACATCTTGTCCCACTTCTGGCATGTCAGCCTCCCACCTTTTAGCCAACTCAGAGGATGCAAAATATGCTTAGCACATGTACTAAAATAGTGTCTCTACAATAAACACAGCAGGCCAACATGTACAGCTTTTATTCACCGACCCAATTCCTTTACATATGAGATATCTGCACTCCACCCTGCCCCTCCCACTCACAAACCAGGACGAATCCTCTTGGCACAGAGGAAGGGGTGACCCTTCAGCCAGGGCCACAGCCCAGATGATCTGGAGGAGCCCCCGCTGGAAAAGCAGGAAGAGAGTGAAGAAAGTTGATCACGCCATGGCCCCCCACGAGGGGAGGGGCTCAGGAGGCTGGGGGAGGGCCCCATGCTACTGCCCCAGTCCTTAAATACAAAGCAAGGGGAGTAAAGAGGACCATCCCTCAAAAATACAGCACCAACCTCAGCATGGAGGCAAAAGGACAGTGGGCAAGACCCCTTCCCTCTGAAGGGGGCGGGCTGAATGAGAGCACATACCGTTAGTGGCTGCAGCAACCCCCGTACCAGGGTCTGGGTGCAGCCTCAGCACCAGGAGTGGGGAGGGGAGGAGAGGGGATGACAACTCTGCGCCACCCACCTCTCCCTGACCCCAGCCAGGCATCCCGCTCCCCACTAGCCCAGGTCAGGGGATGTGGAAGAAACTGTGTTGGAATCCAAGGCCCTGGTCTATTTCTTCTTCCGCTCTTGGGAGCAGCGTGGGCAAAACCTACAAAGGAACGTGACAGAGAAGGGGGAGAGAGTGAGCGAAAGGGAGGATGCCCTCTGTCACTCACTCAGCTCGTGACAGTCCAGCCCCACCGCAGCTCTCACTCACCACTTCCCCCGAGGCTTGGTGGTCAGCCCCACACAGGCAAAGTGGAACCACTCGATGGAACACTGGGAAAGGAAGAGGATGGAAGAAGCAGAACTCAGGGACCAGGGTGGGGCAGAGGAAAGAAAAGAACCCCCCCCACCCTCCATTCCCCCGCCCCATCCCTTAGGAGTACTCCCTTATTCCATCCCTTGGGAGAATTCTTGAAGGGTCCAAGGCCAACCAACTCCAACTACCTTTCTCCTATCCCGAAGTCCCCCTATTCAACCGTTACCCCCCTTCTTGTACCCAACTCCCTTCATGTCCACCAGAACCCCCCCCATCCTGAGGCAAAACAGTTCTTACATCAGGGTTGTCACAGCCAATCATCTCTCCATAGGAGACCTGGTGACAAAGGCAATAGGTGGGTTCGTTGGGATCCACAGGCATATCCAACACATCAGAGGGGTGGACACTGCCAAAGGTCACTGAGGGCATCCCATACTCAGGGCTTCTGCGTGCCAAGAGGAAGAGAAAGTGTCATCTGCAGAAGGGAAGCTACAGCTTGAGATGCTCAGAGCCGGCAGAGGAGGAGGTCCTTGCGGGGCTAGCGATTTGTGGCTTCTCCTCTGTATCCAGCAGACGCCAAAATGGCGGGGAGAGCTGCTGGCACAGGAAGCAGCAAAGTGGCAAGGGGCACTGTGGCTGGGGTGAGGTGGCGGGAAAGAGGAGTCTGTCCCTTGGCAAGACGCTGCCTGACACACTCACGTGCGCACAAGTTTTAGCTTCTTCTGGGCGGCCTTGGGGGCCTCGTCGTCCGAGTTCCTCCCTTTGGAACGCGCACGGGCAGCCTTCTTCTCCTTCTGAGTCCGGCCTTCTAGGCAGGGGGGCGGAGCCAGAAGGCAGGGGACAGAAGGGTGGTTAAGCCCCCCTCCCCCGCCCCTCCTCCAAGCCGGTGGTCCTCCCTGGGAGCTGAGGAGCGGGCTGGCTTCTCCCTGGGGGTCCTCGCCCCCCCTCTCACAGCCCCGCCCCCCTCCTCACTCTTTTTGCCTTTGCTGGAAGAGCTGTCGTAGTCACTTGACTCAATCTGCTTCTCCTTCAGATCAGCCTCAAAACGGGCCAGGTCTGTGTCCAGTCGCCGAATGTGTTTGTCCACCTGGGTGGGAAGGAAGGAGAAGGAAGAGCTACAGGGCCGGTTCCAGTTAAAGAAAACAGGCTGAGGCAGATTCTATGGATCTCCCAGACCCAAAACAGATCCCAACATGGCTGAAGGAGGGGGTCTAGGACCCCGAGGAATAGACGGGAGGCAGGTGGGGAGCCATGAACAGGGCCATACCATCTCATAGGTCTGCATGGCAAGCTGCACCTTGTCGTCACCAAATCCCTTGCACTTGCCATAGGCTTCCTGGATCTGTCTGAGAAGGGCCAATTTCTCCTCGGAGCTCAGGCTGCGGGCGCTACTCATATACTCAGTGGCCAACTTGTCAATTTCAGCCTTCAGGTCTACAACAGAGACAGAGGCCCGGTCACAATGGCCCCTGAGTGGCTACGTGGGACACACTTCTTCCTCTTGCTCCTTGGACCTTTTCCATTGACCATCATAACCTTCGAATTAAAACGTACTGAACATTCCTAGGTACTGTGCCACGTACTCAAGTAATGCAACGTGTTCCCAATATTTGTTTCAAAGGTGCCTTCGGGTGCTGAAAACATTGCTATCATAGTTGGAACTGAATTTATTGAACCATAATGAGGGATTCCTGGCACCCGGCACTAATACGAAGTGTGTTTTTGTCGCTGTCTGAAGATGCTTCTTTGCAGGGCTTGCTGCCTCTTGAACCATGAACTTTGTCTCAAAAGCCATCTGGTTTCTCGTCTCAAAAATGCCCCATGACAGCTCTGAGTGCTGCACACCAGGGTGGGTCCTCTGCTGCTGCTGGCTTCCAGGTCTGTATATCCGTGTCTCCTCATTTAAAATTAGGCCCTGGTCCACTCATGGCAGCTCCTCTACTTACCGCCCACCCTGTTCTGCGCATCGTCTGCAACTTGCTTATACTTCCCATCACTTTTTTTTCTGTTTGTTCATTTTAGATATTTTGCTCCAAACGTTTCTGCAAGGCTGCTGACGTCCCAAGACACTGAGACTTTAGATGCCCACTGCCCAATATTTGGTAGTGCTCACAAAAAATGTCGATGGAGAAAAAAGTATGACTGCAATACGGGGTAGCAATAGGTAACAGGGAAGACCTGCGCGCACACTAGGTTTACGCCCTGCTTCATTCGAGGCCCTTGGAGGAAGCTGGAAAAGCATGTATGTAGTTCAGTAATCTCCAACTGGTCTTTCTGTGCATGAACTCAAGAGCTGGAACTGTATTACAAAGCAAAGAGCTGGTGCTCAGCATTCAGCAGGGAGTTCTCAGGGGCCTACGTCCAGGATTTTAGATGATGTTCACCTTTTCATGAGTAAACTTACCAAGAGTAACTTAAATCACAGCTTTAGGTATTCTAACAACAGCTTGTTACATCCTTGGGCACAGTTACATGAGGATGCACCTGTATATCCATCAGCAGGTGTGGGGGGATAGCTCCAACAAATACCTTTGACCTCGAAGAGACAAACCTGACCACTGTAGTGTGGCCTCAGGCTCCAAATGAATGCCTCAATGCAGCCAAACTTGCTCAATGCCCAGGCAAGGCCACAGATGGTACCCAGTGCTTCTGTGCGGCTGAAGAATATAGCGTAGAGATCCTGATGTTTGTTCATTGCTGCTTTTCCTTCTTTTTTCCTTTCTTTTTAAGATCTTCTCATGCAGCAAAGTTCCTGTCTACCAACATGAGTTGCAGTCTAAAGCCACAGTGAATTTTGTGACAGTAACATTAACAATCCAATGGAATAGAAACATTCTAGTCTTCCTATAAACGTACTGAACACGGAGAACAGAAATGATTCTAGGAATGACTTTGGTTTTTTTAATTCTTCTTGAGGGAGATATAAAGAGCATAGCATCTTTGAATTCTTGAGGCACTGTCACAATACTCCATGTGTTATGGAAAAGCTGACACACAAATATGGGTCATTATTACTCTCCTTTTAAGAATTGCAAGAGAGTGAGAGAGAGAGAGAGAGAGAAGCTGCAGCAATCGAGACCAGATGATATGGTAACACCAAACAGAAGAAGAAACGATCATATACACACTCACTATACACTGGACTCCTTACTCTGTACGTACCCTCTGTTCTTTGGTCCAGGTCCCTCATGAGCTGGAAGTTTCTCTGCAGTTCAAATGGGAGGTTTTCAATACCTGGGGAGAAGAGGAGAAACTGAGCCTCCCTGGACGTCCTAGGCCCTACAGCTGCTTTTAAAGAACAGGTCCAAAACAACACTCGGTTTTCTCTCCTTCAAACCGCTGGATTATCTGTTACAGCACTCATCATTCTGCTCTCAGGAGAGGTCACGTCCGCCTCTTTCCACAACTAACCCCTCCATCTCTACACAGCTTTCCCACCCTTCCTCCCTTCAGTGACTTTACTCTACAAATCAGCCTTTCCTTTTCCTTTCCTTTCAATCTCTGTCTCCAAGCTCCTTGCCCTCAACTTACAAATACCCTCCTGGCATCCTCCACCACTCATCACACACACACTTCCAATCTGCTCTCCATACAGTAGCCAGAATGTTCTTTAAAAAATGGGACTTCCCTGGTGGTGCAGTGGCTGAGAGTCCGCCTGCCGACGCAGGGGACGCGGGTTCGTGCCCCGGTCCGGGAAGATCCCACATGCCGCGGAGCGGCTGGGCCCGTGAGCCATGGCCGCTGAGCTTGCGTGTCTGGAGCCTGTGCTCCGCAACGGGAGAGGCCACAACAGTGAGAGGCCCGCGTACCACAAAAAAATAAATTAATTAATTAAAAATTAAAAAATGCAGATCTGGGCTTCCCTGGTGGCGCAGTGGTTGAGAGTCCACCTGCCGATGCAGGGGACACAGGTTCGTGCCCCGGTCCGGGAAGATCCCACATGCCGCGGAGCGGCTGGGCCCGTGAGCCATGGCCGCTGAGCTTGCGTGTCTGGAGCCTGTGCTCCGCAACGGGAGAGGCCACAACAGTGAGAGGCCCGCGGACCGCAAAAAAAAAAAAAAAAATGCAGATCTGATAAAGTCACTCTCCTGTTTATAATCCTCTAGTAACCTCCTACTGCAATATTCCTATTCCTATTCTGCACTTTCTGGCCCTTGCTTCCCTCACACCAGCCCTAACTCACGTCAGTCCCTGTCTGTGCTCTCTCTGCTCCATCATACTGGCCTCCTGAGTGCCTTGAACTTGCCAGTGCTCTTCATGACACTTGGCTTTTCACATGCTACTCTCTCTGCCCAGAATGCCCTGCCCAGTCTTCTTCACCCCACCTCCACCATACCTCTTGGCCTTCAAATCCCTGTTCATTCTTCAAAGTTCAGCTCAACCCTGACTGCCCCAGACTCCAACAAGTGCCCTGGATTATACTGTCATACTATTTTTTTTTTTTTTTTAAATACGTATTTCGCTGCGCGGGGTCTTAGTTGCAGTACACGGGATCTTTGTTGCTGCGTGCGGGACCTTTTAGTTGTGGCATGTGGGATCTTGTATTTGCAGCGTGTGGGATCTAGCTCCCTCCCTGACCATGGATCGAACCCAGGCCCCCTGCATTGGGAGCGTGGAGTCTTAACCACTGGACCACCAGGGAAGTCCCTGTCGTGGTATTCTGTGTCTACCCTTTTGGGCTCTTATCCAATGTACTTAAATAAGTAATTGTGTAATTAGTTATTTGGTATGTCTCCCCAGCTCTCCAGAAGGGTTAGATGTATCTGTCTTCTTTCCTATTTCTCTAGAGTTTAGAACTATGATGTGCATAGAGGATCCTCAATAAATACTTGAATAAATGCATGAATACTTAAATCTCTCTCATAAAAGAAAAATCTCTTCCCATGACTCCACTTCCAACTTTTAAAATGCCTCCACTGCTTTAACCTATAAACTCAGGTTCACCACCACCAGTTTACTGAGACTAAGTCATCAATGACTTACCAAATCAAATGATAGGTTATTAGTCCTATCCTAAAAAAAATTACGTCTGCAGCATCTGGCACCAGCTTCTCATCTTCGAATAACTTGCTTCCTCTTAAGATTCCAAATCTCATCACATACTTTCTAGCAATTGCATCACTGACATTTCCTTAGCCTGTCCCTTAAATGTTAATATTTTCTTGAGCTTACACATAATTTAATCCTCTAATTTTCTCACTCGCTTTCTCTGAATGATCTCCATCTTATTTACTCTTACAGATACAATTACCATTCCTATGCTTAAATCTAAGTTGAATAAATATGTTACTGTTACTCCTGAATTTCCTATCTTGATGATGATTTACTGTCTACCTCACTTCCCAAACAGGAAATAGAGAAGTCACCTTAGATTCCTCCTTCTCTCTCAGCCACTCAGTCAGTCAATCCTGTCATATTTAACTCCTGAACACTTCTGTCACTCCCTGAGATCAGGTCCTCATCTCTGACCAAGACTGTTATCCCTAACTGATCTCCCTATTACCAATGTCATCATGCTCCAATTTATCATGCAACATTTATTTTCCTTTATATAAAAAAAAATCACTCTATTTAGAAAATCTGTTGGTTCCTCGCTATTTAAAGTGCACGCTGGTGGACCTCCCTGGTGGTGCAGTGGTTAAGAATCCACCCACCCGCAGTGGTTGAGAGTCCGCCTGCCGATGCGGGGGACGCGGGTTCGAGCCCTGATCCAGGAAGATCGCACATGCCGCGGAGCAACTAAGCCCGTGTGCCACAACTACTGAGCCTGCACTCTAGAGCCCACGAGCCACAACTACTGAGCCCGCGAGCCACAACTACTGAGCCCACGTGCCACAACTACTGAAGCCCGCGCGCCTCGAGCCCGTGCTCCGCAACAAGAGAAACCACAGCAATGAGAAGCCCGCGCACTGCAACAAAGAGTAGCCCCCGCTCACCACAACTAGAGAAAGCCTGCGGGCAGCAACAAAGACCCAATGCAGCTAAAACAAACAAACAAACAAATAAAATATAACGTGCAAGCTTCTTAGCTTGGCTTAAACGCCCTTGCACAACCTAGCCCCAGCTACCTTCTCCAGTCTTGTTTCCCAATCTTCCACCTCGGAGTCCTATACATCAAACACTCTGGCCTCACTTTTCCCTGGCTTTGCCACAAACCCATCATAACACCTTTGCTGATGCTTTCCCCAACCTGCAATTCCCTCTCCCTCTCCGCACTCAACCTTCAAGTTTCTATACATCACATCCTCTGTAAAGCTTTACCTACACCCCCAGGTAATGAGCCCCTTTCTCCAGTGTTACCTACTGTCCTTTTAATGTATTTCTATTATTTCATTTGTCACACTGTTTAATAAATAATAGCAGAACCTGTGTTCTACTAGACTATGAGCACTTGAGGGCAAGAGCCGGGTCTTATTCATTCTTGTATATCGCCAGTACCTGCCATTATGTCTGACCCATAGCAGAACCTCAAAAAACGAATGAATTAATGACTCTCAACGGTAAGGCAAATGTAAGGGCATAGGGTGACGGACTCTGTGAAGAGGCAGGTTACACAAATGGCATAAACATAACACCAGATTTCCATTTGATGGGAATTGGATCTTTACTCCAAGAGGAGAAGCCTTCCGGTTCATCATCTGACAGTGGTCACTCGTAACCCCCCATCCCCACGAAAAGCCGCTTCTTCGAAAGAACTGGTTGGAGGAGCCGCGAGCAGATCTTCATCGCTGCTCCAAATGGCAGCGGATGATAATATTAATACGAAAACGACCGATTCGGAACGATTTTAAGAAAATGATATATGCTGAGGCCAGAGAATCTGCAGACGGGGGCAGCAAATATCTTCCCGGCTATGCCCACCAGCCCTTCAAGAGCCGTCCCCCAGCCCTGCCGCGCAGCCCCTCCCCCGTCTACACCCCAGAGCAAGGCCTCGACCCTGGTGCCCCGCCCCCTATTTCTTCACACCCTCCAGTATTTTCTCTCACTCAACCCTTCACGACTGTGACTTTCTGACCACCGAGACTTCGGAGCCGTAGAGCTCCTCAGCCCCGATCCCCCCCACCCGTCTGTGACCCCTGACCCCCTCCTCCAGCCTGCTCTTACTGTCCAGATAATGTTCCAAATACATCCCCGCAGCCATCTTGAAGCAAAACAAAGCAACTTCCGCTCCGCCCCGGAAGTGGCTGAACGCGAAGGGAGCCGAAGCGCTCCTACCCGGCCTGGAGCCCTTCCGCCCTCACGAGGGGAACTTCCGCCCTCACGAGGGGAACTTCCTGTCTGAGTACAGGGCCCGCCTAGTTGCCTTCGCCAGGCGCAGGCTCTAGTCCGTGGCGGGTTGGCCGGCTGCGGGGTCGGCGGCGGTGGCCGCCGCGGCCGAGGGCGCCATTTTGCGTCCTCGCTCAAACTTCCATCCCCTCCAGGACGGGGACGTGCGGGCGTGAGAGCAAGGAAACCTGTCTCTTTGGGCTTTCAGTCCACAGAGAGTCCTTCTCAGCAGCTGGGGAATGTGAATCGGCCCCTTGGCGGAATGTGAAGCTGGCGACCAGGGCAGGTGCCTTCTTCCGAGTCGCTAGTTTCTTAGGAAATTGAGGAGGCGCCTGGCGGTGCGAGGTTTAAATCCTCCCCGTTTCCGTTCACTCGCGCGAACACCAACTCCCCAGGATTATGGTTTAACGTGGAAACAATAGATTATTTATAAACTCTACTTATAAATACAAAGAACTACTCAATAAAGCTGCGACTCTCCACACCTTTTGTCAGGGTTCCTGTCACTTGAGGACGTTCCCGCTTGTAAAGTGACAGAGTGCTTCTGGCCTTGCCCTCCAGTTTGTCTCCCTTTTTATTCGAGTTTGGGTATGATGTTAACTGGCACCATAATTCTGAAAGGATTGGGGCACGGAGCTGTCACAACGGGGCCAGTTGGATGCCCACTATCACCCTGGTCTGCGACATCACAGCGACAACTGCGCTCCTCGTCCGGATGGAAAGCCACCAAGTGCACGACAGGCCGCCACCACACCAGGGACGCAGAACTCAACGCCCAGAGCCGGAGAGTGTTAGTAAGACAGTTTTGGAGATCATTGTGACCCCAAATCACGCGTTCTTAATAATAACTATTAATGTCACATGGCAGGTTTTGGTTTTGGGGTTTTTTTTTTTTTTTTTTCCACTGTGCCGCGGCTTGCGGGTTGTTCCCCGACCAGGGAGTGAAGCCGGGTGGCGGCTGTGAGAGCCCAAGATCCTAACCCCTGGGCCACCAGGAAACGCCCACATGGCAGGTTTTCAATGAAACATTTCAGCCACATAATTTAGCTTAAATATGTAAAAAAGGGCAAGGTGAAACCCCAGGTTTACTACTGAGCAGGTGGTAGATAGAGCAATAGAATCTAGAAGACGTCCCTCTAATTGCAAGCGGCAGGCCCTTGGATTATCTAATCTCCGTGCCTATTTCCTTCTCTATCAAAATTCCTGGAACCCTGCTTACTTCATAGGGCTGTTGCTGTTGAAGTGGGAGGGTACCCTTCAAAAGAGATGCTGGTTGTAATACCTGTGATGAAGGTAGGGTTGGCTCTCAATGTCAATTCAACAGTTGGTGATAACAGGGGGAAACGTAGATGCAGGAAACTCACACACACTGCACGTTTGGTCATATGTGATACAGTCGTTAGTGTCACATCACTGACTGAGACTATCTTGGATGCCCACACAAGAGCCCGAGCCCTAAAGCTAAGAGGTGTTATTTCATTGCCTATCCACACACCACCAGCTACCGAGTGTGGCTGCCCAGCAGTCCCACACAGGATGGCCACGTTGTCAGACGTGGGAGCTCTGTCACAACTTTTTCAGTGCTTAAAAGATTTTTAATTTTCAGAAAGGAATATTGGAGGTGATCCAGCCCCATCCCTTCATTTAACAGCTGAAGCAGCACTGTGGCCGACACTGGTTGATGGGAGAGCCAGGGCGGAAGTCCAGGTTTCCCGCCCACGCTCTACCCCTCAGCGCTATAACTGTCCTGTTTCATTCTTCAATCCCGGTTATGGGTTCCACCACTGGAAACCTCTGGTTTTAGGTGCCACAGGATATGCCAGCTGGAATTAGCACTGAGCCCACAGATGCTCTGGCAGCAGTGCAGGTCCTTCCAGGAGGCCGTGCTTCCATTTCCTGGATAGGGAGAGCTTCGAGGTATCTTGTTAACACACGACTGAAACCCTGCTCTTACACCTTAGGCGACAGAGTCCTCACAGCAGGATTTGTATGTAGGAACCCTCATAAACCAAGATTTCACTTCAGAAATTTCAAAGTTGTGCCCTTCTATGGCTAGGGATACACACACAGCCCCATCACACAGCATTCGTTCTTACCGTTCGCACACTCTACTGTAAATCCTTAGTACTGGCCTTGAACGTCTCCCCAAATAGCTGTTTCCCACGCTTATACTCACATCAGTAGCTCCACTGCCTCTGATCCTTTTACACGAATTTATTTCTATACAAGGTTCTAAAAACACCCCTTGGTTTTGTACATAAGTTTTTCTTTTTTTCCTCATTTTAAATTACTTTATAACAACTGGTTTCCTGATTTTTTTTTTCCATTTTCTCTTTTCTCTGAAATCTGCCATGATTTAAAAAAAAAAAAAAAAAAAAAACAAAAGGAAAAAAAAATGCCATTGGCCAGAAAACAGGGGGAAGAAAAAAAAAAGGGACAAAAA